AAAGTCAGCCTTTAAGGGTCTGAATAGCTGAGGTTTTACTCTCCATTCTAAAAATGAGATAGAATTTGGGTGAGCCTAATTGAAAAAAATGGTCCCAGTGAGTTTACGCTGATTAACGGATGGATGAGAGCTCTCGGCCTGATTTGCTGCAGGAGAGAGTTTCTAAAGATGCCTCGGAGCTGTTTCATCTCTGCTCCTGGGCATCCTGCTCGCATCCTGGTGCCTCCAGTCAGGTCCAAGCCTCCTCCTCCCACTGCATCGTGTGATTTTCAGCCGTATCTACAACTCTTTGTCCACATAAAACATGAATCTAAAGGCACTATTTCTTTCTGGATACAAATACCAATCTAGTGCCCTTGGAGCTGTTTTCTTTTGATTGAAAGTAGAAATTAGCACTCCCTGGCCAAAACCAAAGGCAGAAAAGGGAATGTGAAGCTTAAGATACTACTCTGTAAGATTATATTGACAGAGTTTTTTTTTAATTAAAGTATAGTTTATTTATAATATTAATTTCAGGTATACAATATAGTGATTCAGTATTTTTATAGATTATACTCCATTTATAGTTTTTATAAAATATTGACTCTATTCCCTGTGTTATACAATATATCCTTGTGACCTGTGTATTTTGTACACAGTAGGTGGTACCTCTTAATCCCCCACTTCTGTCTTGCCCCCCACTTCCCTCTCCGCACTATAACCACTAGTTTGTTCTCTGTATCTGTGAGTCTCTTTCTGTTTTGTTATATTTATAGTTATCTTTTAGATTCCATGTATAAGTGGTAACACAGTATTTTTCTGTCTGACTTCATAAGCATAATACCCTCCTTGTCCATCCATGTTGTTACAGATGGCAACTTTTCATTTTTCATGACTGAGTAATATTCGTGTGTGTGTGTGTGTGTGTGTGTGTGTGTGTGTGTGTGTGTGTGTGTGTGTGTGTGTTATATATGAGGGGTCCCCAACCCCCGGGCCATGGACTGGTACCAGTCTGTGGCCTGTTAGGAACCCAGCCGCACAGCAGGAGGTGAGTGGCGGGCAAGCGAGCGAACCTTCATCGGTATTTACAGTTGCCGCTCCGCACTGCTCGCGTTACCGCCTGAGCTCTGCCTCCTGTCAGCATTATAGTGAGTTGTGTAATTATTTCATTATATATTACAATGTAATAATAATAGAAATAAAGCACACAATAAATGTAACGCGCTTGAATCATCCTGAAATCAACCCCCCCCACACCCCACCCCTGGTCCATGGAAAAATTGTCTTCCACGAAACTGGTCCCTGGTGCCAAAAAGGTTGGGGACCGCTAATCTATACCACATCTTCTTTATCCATTCATCTGTGATGGGCACTTAGGTTGCTTCCATATCTTGACTATTGTAAATTATGCTACTGTGAACATGGGGGTGCATGTATCTTTTCAAATTAGTGTTTTTGTTTTCTTAGAATATATACTGTAGGGCGCGGTCAGCTAACTGCCACGCAGCAGGAAGCTGAAGTAAGCTGAATCATCCTTCCTGTGGCCACTGCACTTGCGCTAAGTATACTAATGAGGTTTTAAAGTAGCGACCTATCCGATGCTGGCTCACAAGTCGCACCATCGGCGAAAGCCAATCACAGAGCGACACATGTTCTTAATCCCTATATAAGCAGACTGCTATAGGATTGCGGTGTCTTCCTTCCATCTTTTCTTTAACCAAGCTGTGCTCCAATAAAGTGTGATACGAGAAGAATCTTGCGTGTGGCGACTCGTCATTCTGCTGGTCGGAGGCGGCTCGCCGCATTTGGTGCCGAAACCCGGGAACTTCGCGCCCTGCATGGAGGACCGATTCAGAACTCGACACACGGAGTGAACCGTCGGATCAAGATCCGATCTGGGTGCCATCAAGACTGATGAGAATTGTTGAAGAAAACTTCAGAGAAGATGCTGAGCTGGATGTTCCTGATGATTCTTCCCTTGCTTAGGGCAGAGAATATGACGTTCTGGGGAATTAGCCGGACCTGGCCAGTTCCCATGCCGGTTCACTCTCAGAGCAGAGTTCTTCCAATATTTTATTCCACTCGTTGTGAAATGAATACGGCCTGTACCCAGCCATTGAATTATGACTGGGCACCGTATAATGCCAGTGATTTTATTTTGAATCGAAGTCTTTGTATTAGTTGGAATTCCACAAAGGATTGTATCCTTTTGGCCAGGATAACCTTGACCACTTGGAACAATCCACTTAGAAATAATTTGGTTCCATTGAATATGTTGAATGAAGCTTTGAGCAAGATAACTCAAGGCCACACTTCAGGTTCAGGTATAGGGAATTCCAGTGAAAATGAGATGAATATTACCACTTTAGTTTTGGAACATACAGGGATAGTTCCTTTAAGAAATAATGCTTCTGATAAAAACAAGTGCCAACAGGACTGTTGTCGCCCCCTATTGTGAGCCAGTCACATCAACACCCCCAGTCTTTACCCCTTGTCAGGGGGGAACTTATGCTAAGTATGAACTTAGTTCAGGCTTTCAATTTTCCCCTGATTTAAAGTCCTATATGGGAAGAAAGGAAAAAGGAAATGATACTAATGAGACAAAAGGAAATGATAGTACAAAGTGGTATTTTGAAGGATGGCCATTTTATTCTTGGTTATTAGTTAATGAGGCAGGAGTAGGCATGGATATTTCTGCTTTGGCCACTTTACAGATGCCCTGAATAGGAGTGCAGAGATTGGAGAATTCCTAAAGGGAAACTGGTCTCAAGAAGCTGAACGGATGATATTTAAGCAAAAGATTCAGATTATGCAACTGAATGCTACCAAGCTGGAACCCGTTACCTTTGGAGATTTTACCTCTTGGCTCTCTTCTGCCTTTTCCTTCTTTGAAGAGTGGGTAGGGGTGGGGATCTTTGGGCTCTGCTGTATATTTGGGATTATAATATGTCTCTGGTTGGTCTGTCGCATGCGCGTCAGGGCACATCGAGATAAGGTCCTACTCACTCAAGCACTTTTGGCTGTTAGTGAAGGTGATTCTCCCGCAGCCTGGATCTCCGTCCTAAACAATTCGAATGGATTGCCCTTGCACGGAGAGGCCCTGTTGCCATTGCACCTCTATAGGGAATCAAAACTTATTCTGAGTCAGCCTTTGCACCCTGCAGCCCTTGTTGGCATTGCACGCAGGAAGGTGTCTCAGACATGCCAACGGAAGGCTGCCCTCGAACAGTGAGCACATCATGAGGTGAACACTTGTACGGGCTACATTCTGCTTGGTGATTCTAGTAAATAAAAAAGGGGGAGATGTAGGGCGCGGTCAGCTAACTGCCACGCAGCAGGAAGCTGAAGTAAGCTGAATCATCCTTCCTGTGGCCACTGCGCTTGCGCTAAGTATACTAATGAGGTTTTAAAGTAGCGACCTATCCGATGCTGTCTCACAAGTCGCACCATCGGCGAAAGCCAATCACAGAGCGACACATGTTCTTAATCCCTATATAAGCAGACTGCTATAGGATTGCGGTGTCTTCCTTCCATCTTTTCTTTAACCAAGCTGTGCTCCAATAAAGTGTGATACGAGAAGAATCTTGCGTGTGGCGACTCGTCATTCTGCTGGTCGGAGGCGGCTCGCCGCAATATACCCCAGAGTGGGATTGCTGGATCACATGGTAGTTCTATTTCTAGTTATTTGAGGAACCTCCATATTGTTTCCATAGTGGCTGCATCAGTTTACATTCCCACTAACTCTGCACCAGGCTTCCCTTTTCTCCACATCCTCGCCAACATTTGCTTGTGGTCTTTTTAATGATAGCCATTGACAGGTGTGAGGTGATAGCTCATTGTGGTTTTGATTTGCATTTCCTTCACATAGTTTTTTTTCTTAAGTGCTACTTTTATATACAACAAAACGAGATCTCCTGTCTAGGGCTACAGCAGGGTCGTGAAAAGGAAAGGGGTTTTGGGGTGGGGGTCTTTCTAAGGAATGATAATTATTTTAATAGCTGCCCTCAGGGGAAAACACAGGTCAGGGTGAAGCTATCTCTAATTAGCAGTTGGATAAATCTTTTTTTTTAACATCTTTTTGGGAGTATAATTGCTTTACATTGTTGTGTTAGTTGCTGCTGTATAACAACGTGAATCAACTATAAGTATACATATATCCCCATATCCCCTCCCTCTTGTGTCTCCCTCCCACCCTCCCTATCCCACCCCTCTAGGTGGTCACAAAGTACCAAGCTAATCTCCCTGTGCTATACAGCTGCTTCCCACTAACTATCTGTTTTACATTTGGTAGTGTATATATGTCCATGCCACTATCTCACTTCATCTCAGCTTTTCCTTCCCCCTCCCCGTGTCCTCAAGTCCATTCCCTATGTCTGCATCTTTATTCCTGTCCTGCCCTTAAGTTCTTCAGAACCATATATATACATTTTTTTTTTAGCTTCCATATATATGTGTTAGCATACAGTATTTGTTTTTCTCTTTCTGACTTACTTCACTCTGTATGACAGTCTCTAGGTCCATCCACCTCACTACAAATAACTCAGTTTCGTTCCTTTTTACGGCTGAGTAATATTCCATTGTACATATGTGCCACATCTTCTTTATCCATTTACCTGTTGATGGACACTTAGGTTGCTTCCATGTTCTGGCTATTGTAAATAGAGCTGCAGTGAACATTGTGGTACATGACTCTTTGAATTATGGCTTTCTCAGGGTATATGCCCAGTAGTGGGATTGCTGGGTCGTATGGAAGTTCTATTTTTAGTTTTTTAAGGAACCTCCATACTGTTCTCCATAGTGGCTGTATCAATTTACTTTCTCACCAATCAGTTGGATAAATCTTGAGAATTATAGCACAGCAGGATTTACATTCCATTTCCCAAAATGCAGGACTCTGCTAGAAGCTGAATGGACATGATTGCGGCTCTCCGGCGTTGACCGTCACTCTCGCAGCTGTGGGAGTTTGACCCGCGCTAAAACGCCTCACTGAGTCAATCCTCTCCCTGTCCTTGTCCCCGCAGCGCCAATCTGTCCAAGGCCGCCTGGGGAGCATTAGAGAAGAACGGTGCCCAGTTGATGATCCGCTCCTATGAGCTCGGCGTCCTTTTCCTCCCATCAGCATTTGTAAGTGCACACTTGATAGATGATTGGTCATGAGTGAAGCGAATGGGGTTTGTGTTCTCTTCTTGAGTCTCGATGACCTGCCCGAGGTCAGGAGGTTGCAAGCCTGTGCACTGACCCGGAGCCTGTGCTCCTAGTCGCAGGCTCGAGCCGATGAATTTATTCACCAATCACTGCTCTGGGTGTGGGGGGATCGCTGCTCTCGAGGTGTGTTCCAGATTAGTGATCAAAGGCATCGCTTTGGGTAAAGTTAATAACAACCTTTAAATGAAGATTGTGAACCAGCATGTGAAAATTTACTTTAAGGTAGTAAGTGACAAGTCACCAAAGGGATGAGTCAGCCAAGTGCGTGGCTTGTACTAGGTGACTGGAGACCGCCTTCAGAAGCTGGTCGGCCTGGGGGCAACAAAGGATGCTGAGGATTCTCGGTCGGCGGAGAGGAGCGGGAAGGGCAGCCTCGTGGGAGGAATGGCCTGAGCACAAGCCGGGAGGGAGGCAGGGAAGCTCACAGCATCTGCTAGAGACAGAGTCCCGGGGGTCGCAGAGGACGTGTTACCAGGCTCACTGGGAAGCCCCCCCAGAAGGGCACCGGAACAGCCAGCTTGCATCCTGGCTTTGGAACAGCGCTCAGTTTCTGCAGCTGAACACCCAACAGAGTAGCTAGTTTTTGTGTAGGGACTGGGTTTTACAAGCCGTATGTTTCTCTCAACACTAGAATTCCTCTTGGTCCAGAGAGCTGTTCCCTCCTTAAGAGGCACACAGTGTCCCCAGTACCCGCTCTCGCCCCCAACCCCACTCTGGGCACACACTCATTGGTGGATGCAGTTGGAACTGCCCACACCATGTGATGTGTAATGCTTTTCTTTTTTTCTTTTTTTTGCCACTTGCTCTAGTTGAGCTAAACACACACATGATGCAGCCCCATGGCAAACCACTTGGACTGGACCAGAAGACTTAGCCAGTGGGGTGCTGTGTGCTTGTCCCGAGACTTACATCCAGGCCCTGTGCTGTGTGGGTATCGTCTCAAGGCGAGCTGAGATTGCCCTCCTGCCCAGCCTGACAGGCCTCCCCACTGTTCCTTTTCTCACGCATGCTCTGGGGAAGAGCTCCCCTCTCCCTTTCTCCCCCCCTCACCACTCTTTATCCATCCTTTTCTCTGTCTCAGAGGGTTTCACTACTGAACTGTCCCACGGGCCTCTCCTGAGAGCAGATTCTAGCACTTTTTGTTTCTTTCCCATAGAGTCAAACGGCAGATCCTGATGCTGCTTTCAGCTAAAGATCACCACCTCCGCAGCCCCGTCGGTAGATGGTTTCCATAGACAAGGAGGTGACTTCCCTAAGGTTCCACCGCTGAGTGGATCTAGCTCTCAAGCCTCCGTCTCTAACTGATCCTCCTGTGATCTCTCAGCTGTATCACAGGGAGGTAGGAGATTCTCAGCACCAGGGTAATAATACACAGTCATGTGGTGTGATTACAGTGGCTGTAGCTTCGAACTCAGGCTAGAATTAGCTCCCAATAATCACCTAGGTAAAGGAGTAAATTCCGCGTCGCTCTTGCTTGGCTTTTCATGTCAGCATTTGCAAAATTCTAGTCATTTCTACCTGTTCTGACCTTATCCCTCATCATAAAAATGGTGCTAGGAAAGTATACTGCACTTCCAGGACCACTCAACCCTTCTAAGCTACTAATTTTTACCTCTAATATTGTTTCTGTCTGTACATTAGAGAAAGAATGGGCATAATCATTTAGAATCCCCAAACTGACTCTAGACTAGACTATTATTCCTATACTTTTGGAATAAGAGCGAGTCCTACTAGAGTGCATTCTAGGTAAAGTAGAGATTTAGTTATTTATAAAGACCATCAGGCAAGAATATTAAAAAATGGACCCCCCCACCCCCACCCCGTCCTGTGCCAGCAGATTCAAGAGCGAGGCCCCCAGCAGGGGGACCCGTGTAGTTGACACACTGAGACAGTGGCTTCTCCAGCAGGCGGTTCCATGGCGTCTCAACATGCAGATCCCACGGGGAGCAGTGCTTTACAGCAGGCTTGCTCCACAGCGTTAACGAGGACCCACACACTGCCGCTGTCCTGCTATCAGACTTTTTCCCATCTGGGCGGATCGTCGTGTCCTTTAGCAAATCATAAGTGACTTGAGCAGAGCGCTGAGATGAGACGTGTGGACAGTACACAGGTATTTGACCTTGCCTCCTAAGGAGCTAAGGGTCGAGTTGAGCAAGAAGGTCATAGAAGTGAAGCAGACGCCTTGTTTGAGAGACGTCCCAGGTGTGAGCTTGGGTGCTCAGACATGTGAGGAGGGCACCTGGCCTGAGCATGCAGAACCCAGAGGGCTCAAAGTGGGTGTCCGAGTTCTTTTAGGTGCATTTTATAGACACGAACTTGAGCTGACATAGGCCCATAGAAGGGGGAGTGTCATGGAATCAAAGGAAGGGGGGAACAGCCGAGACGTGGGGGGGACGGGCCGGCCAGCTCTAGGGCCCAGGCAGCAGGCGGACTCTCTGGGCTGCTGCCCCTGCTGTGACTCCACCACATGGCTTCTCGGCCCTGTGACCAGGGGTTCTGCATTTACAGTCACTGCGCAAGCTTGGGTCTGCCCCGCATGCCTCTCTCCTTCCCAACCCCGTCCCCCAGTCGGGGCCTGTTTCCAGAAAAGGGGCTTTGTTGTGAGCTAGGAAGCCACTCAAGAGGTAGGAACTTACTGCCAGAGGGTTTCACCTGTAAGTGGGTTGATGTGTGTTTTATCTGCAGAAAGCTGTTAAAGGGGATCTTGCAACATAGGAGACTTTGTCCTTAAGCCACTCTAACTCATCTGCTTCATTTACTGTTACGTGGAGCTTCTGGGAAAGTAGTAGACCTTTGTTTGCCCTCACAGAATTAACATTTATGGTTTTCACTTTGACGGCAACCTAAAGGTCTATGACAGGAGGTAATTAGTCATCTTGCTGAGGCTCTAGGAGCACAGAATGAGACTTAGCTTGTGAAGGAGTGGCTGTCCGTCCTCAGAGTGCACGCCAGGCTCGTCACCAGACATCTGGCTGCCTGAGATGACCTCTTGTGCAGTCAGCTCCATAAGCACCTCCTGCGTCCTCTTTGGCTCCTCCTGGGAACACAGGGAGGAAGAGATGGACTCTTTGTTCTCAGGAAGCTTGTGGATAAGTAAAGGAAGCAGACCCAAGTTATCACAGTAGGTGATGAGAGCTATGGGGTGTCCAGAATATAAGGACTGAGACGGGGGAGTGAGCAGTCTGCCTGCGGGGCTTGGGGAAGGCTTCATTTAGATGACGTTTGACCTGGGTCTTGAAAAATGAATGTGTGTTTAACCCACCATCAGGGGAGATGAGGCTCCCAGCCAGAGGGAACAGTGCACGTTATATTTGAGAAACGGCAACCAGCTCCACGTGCCTGGAATGGGCCGGGGGGTGGCCTGGGCTATGCGGTTGGAGTCCTGTTCTGAAGGAAGGTGGCAAGCAGGACGTGCTGGAGTGGACTTTGTCCCATGCGAATAGTGGAAAGCCATCAGTTTTGGGTTTTTTTTTATGTTGGGGGTAGGAGTTTATTAATTTATTTATTTTTGCTGTGTTGGGTCTTCATTTCTGTGCGAGGGCTTTCTCTAGTTGTGGCAAGCGGGGGCCACTCTTCATCGCGGTGCGCGGGCCTCTCACCGTCGCGGCCTCTGTTGCGGAGCACAGGCTCCAGACGCGCAGGCTCAGTAGTTGTGGCTCACGGGCCTAGTTGCTCCGTGGCATGTGGGATCCTCCCAGACCAGGGCTCAAACCCGTGTCTCCTGCATTAGCAGGCAGATTCTCAACCACTGCGCCACCAGGGAAGCCCAAGCCATCAGTTTTTAAGCAGGGTTAGTGGTCTCATCAGGCCAATTTTCAGAGAATTTGAATCTGTAAAACTTATCTCCCCTTAGGATTATAGTGTAATTTATATTATGCGAGGTACTTGAGGGGAAGGGCCTTGCAGATGCCGTCAAAATCATATCTTAATCACCTACACCACACTGTTATAAAATTCTGATTCTGAATGAATCGCTCTTTGCCTTCACCCACTGTCCCAGCTCAGGGTGTAGGAAGTCATCCCCCACTCCTCGTTCTCCCCCCACATGTTTAATCACCTAGGCTTGTCATCCCCAACTCCTAATGCTCCCTTAAATCTGTCACTTCTGGCCATCCCTGCTGCCACCGCGGCCAGACCTGCCTCCCGGCCCACTTCCTAGGCCACCTCCAAGTTGCTCAGCCCCCTGCTGCCAGAACGTCTCCAGACCATGAATCTGGTCATGTCTCCCACCTGCTCCAAATCCTATGACTCCTAAGCATGGCCTGCTTTTCCCTTTGCGGCCTGACTCCTGACTACTCGGGTCTGACCTCTTCCCTCTCGATCCTGGCCTTTCGTGTTCCAGCCACACAGAGCGACTGCCTCTCATTCTGGACCAGGCCCCTTAGCCTTCTCTGGAGAAACAGAACCAATAGGATATATAGATCCACATAGAAAGAGACTTACTGTGAGGAATCGGCCCACACGATTTTGGAGTGCAAGGAGTCCCAAGCTCTGCCGTCTGTGAGCTGGAGACCAGGAGGGCTGGTGGTGGGGGCCAGCCCGAGTCTGAAGGCCTGAGGACCAGGACCCCATGCTTTCCATCCCAGTCTGAGTTTAGGAGAAGACAGATGTCCCAGCCAAGCAGCCCTTCCTCGGCCTTTTTGTTCCACTCAGTCCCCCTACTGGCTGGATGGTGCATCGTTGGTGGGGATCATCTTTACTCAGTCCACTGATTCAAATATTAACCCCATGCAGAAACACCCTCAGAGATGCCCAGAGTGATGTTTACTGGTTACCTGGGTATCCCATGGCCCAGTCACGTTGACGTGTAGAATGAGCCACCATACCACCCTTCTCAGCAGCCTTAATCCGTAGCTGGAACGACCCCCTGAGGCCCCTAACCCCACCGGCCTCTCACATCTGCTCCAGGGGTCCCTCCTTTGTGCCCCACAGCCCTCAAGAACCGGGGCTTTTCCTGTGTGCCCTGTGTTGTCATCGATGACTCATGTATCTCCTTGACTGGGCTGGGAGCTGCTCTCACGGAGGGCCGGCACACGGGAGGCTCTTAGTGAAGTCTGTTGGTGTTGCTCCCTTGAGGTTCCCGGAGTACCCTCTCCCCTTTCTGTGAGGAGAACACGTGTGCAAAACAGTGGCTGCAGAGGCAATGTGGATTTAGTCCGAGGGGCGTCGGGTGCAGCAGGTGCTTAAGTGTGCTCACGAATCTCGTCGTGAGCAACTTGCAGCGTGGGATAGCTCACCTGTAGCTGTTCTGTGCAAACTGAAACGTACACACAGGCTCACGTTCGCTCTCACTCACAGAAGTCTATTGCCTTAACTACAAATGCCAATCCCTATATATTCATTTAATGTCTTAAAAATTTCGGTATTGGCCATAATCTTAAAAGAGTTACTGACAGTAAGGCAGTTTGTTGTGAAATGAAGCCCAGTGTGATTCCTTTCTTTTCCTTTCTTTTCTCCCTACAGTACTATCAAGATAACGTCTTTTCATACCTTTAGTTACACATTTGCCAAAGAGTTACTTAGCACCCAGTTTTGTAGTCGTTCTTCTGACTGGACAGCATCCAAAATCCAGTTTCTTGAGATCAGCCCACCTTTGTGGCCCTTAGGCAGAACTGCATGTCCGAAAGGCCCACGTTTCTGAGTTAGCAGCAGCCAGAGTTGCCACTTCTGTCCTTCACCAGTGGGCCATCCTGATCTCTGTGCTCCTGAACGCTGACTTGAGGCCAGCGTTGCAAACGGTCAGGTTTTGTGCCCAGAACGGCACAGTCTCAAACGCTGCAGAGGTGGTCGGCCAGAAGAAACCCGGCAGCTCCCCTTTCCCGCAGCCGTCATACAGGCCTGTCACTCAGGAACCAATGGCCGTGTGAAGGGACACGCTGTGTGGCCTACAAACTGCAGTGGGCGGAGAGCCAGCACTTCCCATTCATAATGAAGATGCCATTTGAAACTTCTGGGATTGATCTGGAAGCTGATAAGTCCCTGGTAACCGAATATTGATTTTTTTCCCATTTTTTTCTGCTGCTTTTAAATGAATGAATCAATAAACACATCATTACGAAATTAACCTGACTTGCCATAGAGCATGGAGTCAGTAGCTTTCCCTGTGATTAGAAACACTTGCAAGGGCTTTGGGGCTTAATGTCAAGGTATGTTTGACTGTGTACCCAGCACTTGGCTGTTGTTGCTCCATAGTAGGTGCTTAATAAATGTTTAATTGAAGACTTGATTCTTTTAATGTCTAACATCAATTTATCAGTTTTATTATGCTTTTTGAGTTGTCCCTTTAATTTAAGTGTATTTAACTTTTAGATTAGACTAATGCATTTAGGTTCAGAAAAATCTCAACATAGGAACGATCATCTAATGATTTCAAAGACCAGCAGCTGTATTCCAAACCCTCAGGCATCTGTATTTCAGGGAGATAGAAATTTTCTCTCTTTGAACTTGGTGCATTTTGGTGTTTACTGAGCACGTACTTTGTCAGGCGCCGACTAGGCTGCCCAGCACTTTGTGTCTGGAACGCCTCCTACCTCTGGGAATAATGCACAGACCATCTCAGAATCATGGATCAATGTCCTGAACTCCTTCCTCCAGAGGAAGGTACCCTGAGCATCCCTGCCCTTGTCCCAGGGCTGAGAGCCAGCTCAGGCCCTGCTCAGCCCCAGGTTCATTTGCTCCCCAGATGGCAGGCTCTCTTTCCTACAATCGGAGTCAAAAATGCTGCCACTAAATCCCCAAGAACTTTCAGTCTTCAAGGCTTTACTTTCTCTTTTCTCCATTCTGGTTAAACTATTTTATTGTCCCTCTGTTGCCAAAGATGGCTCTGGCTGGAAGAACTAATACAAGTGACAAGAGCTGCCACATTAACTCCCCCTCGTGCTCCCTGCACCACCTCTGACAGCCTGCCTTGGGCCCAGCACATGGGTTCAGGGCTCTCAGCGTTTCCCAGGGCTCACAGCTGGGCAACACTGTTTCAGGTGGTGTTTCTTTGTAACTTCTCATGTTCTCTGACTCAGCGAATACAGCCACCTCCTGGCATTCCACTGCTGCCACTCGCCCATCCCCATCCGATCCCATCTGCCCAGGCGTGAATTCTTTTTTTTTTGGCCACTCCATGCAGCATACAACATCTTAGTTCCCCGAGCAGAGATCGAAGCCATGCCCCCTGCAGTGGAAGCGTGGAGTCTTCCTTCAAAACCCTCTGCAGCCTGTCTCTGCGTTTCTTCTCTGGTGTCCCAGGCTCTCCTCCTGGGCATTGCTTCACTTGCTGTCCCCCTGAAATGCCAGCTCTTTGCTTTTCCAGCTCCGCCTTTGGTCATGCCGGTCTCCCTCTGATGCTCTTCCCTACCAGCTCTCTGTCTATCAAAATTACATCAATTTTTCAAGGCCCAGCAAAAATATTTTCTACAGACCCTTTTCTTAACCTGCCACTGGCAAGAGGTCATTTCTTCCCTTTCTGCCTAGAGTTTGTGCCCGGCGTCTGTCACGTGTTGCCTTTCACGGAGTTACTAACCACCATCTTGGTTGGTGCTGTCACCCCTACCTTCCTGTAGGTCTTCACTGGCACAAAGCACTTTTGTGCATCTTGTTGCATTTGCTTCTATGCAGACGCCTAAAAAGTAAGCAGGGAAGGTACTTTAATCCCATTTTTGCAGCTCAATATTGCTTGACCAGCTATGCACCAAGACTTGTGCTAGGCGTTTAAGTAAGAAATGTTAATATGGTAACATCCAGAAAGTTATTATTCCAATTTTACAAATGAGGAAATTGAGGCCTAGTGAATAAGTGGCCAAGTGTCCCACTGACCATCTTTTTTAGTTCCTAGCACACGCAAGCTCTTTGCCACCTCTGGGCCATTGCAGATGCTGTTCCCTCCTCCTGGAACTTTTTTTTTTTTTTAATTTGGCTGCACCAGGTCTTCATTGCAGCATGCAGGATCTTCGTTGCAGCATGTGGACTTCTTAGTTGCAGCATGCAAACTCTTAGTTGCAGCATGCGGGATCTAGTTCCCAGACCAGGGATCAAACCCGGTGCCCCTGCATTGGGAGTGTGGAGTCTTACCCACTGGACCACCAGGGAAGTCCCTGGAACGTTATTATTTCCACTCTCAACTGACCAAACACTATTAACTTTTCAGAGTTTAATTAAAATGTCACTTTTTTAGGGAGACTTCTGCTGAGCACCCCCTCACCTCCATATCTAAAACAGGCCTACTATTCTCTCTTCTAGGACTCCTCTGTTTTTCTCTAGCGCTTATAAAAAATTGTAGTTATTTATTTTACTTCTATAAATGCATTTGTTTAATGTCTCACTACTAGACTGTACATGCCACGAGAACAGGGATTGTGGTAATTGTTCGGACTCCTGTGCACTCAGTGCCCAGCACCCATGTCTGACACAAAAGAGGGACTCAAGAAATAATGTGTGGGATGAATGAATGCAAATGTGAGCCATTCACACAGCCCGTAAATACCAGCACAAAGACTCAACTCAGGTTGCCCAAAGCCCAGGTCCACACAGCCCTGACACTTACCTCATCTTCCGAAGAACTGTAGTTGTAGCTCTTTATGTGGGTTCATAGACGTTAGCACTGTTTGATGTGTGGGTATTTAGGGTGAGAAGGGTGGATCTGTGCGTGGATGGGTGGCCAGAGGAATGAGGCAAAAACAGAATGCTAGGATCATCCGGGAAGGGGGCCAGGAGATGATCGATGCGTGGAGGCCTGGGGAGGGCAAAGCCGACGTAGTAGGCACCCCCACTACCGGGCAGGCCCTGTGTGAGGAGGCAGTGCAGTGTGTACGTCGGCCTGGGTGTGGCACCTATAGTTGCACCCTGATTCAGATCCAGAGTTAATAGTAGCCTATTCTTGAGTTCCTGGGATAAACCTTCCATTTTGACAGGTCTTGAAGAGTTCTCACTTTTATATTCCTATCTCATCGTATTGGACACTTTCATGATACATGAAAGCAACTTTCATTCTTCACCAGAGTGAGCAGTCCATTTCTATAGATGGCAATATCGAAAGTATTCAGAGGTATTTTTACAGTGTCTTCTACACACTCCTTGCTGCTGTACACAGAGGTTAGTAGAAATGGGCTGTAACATCCAAAATTGTTTTTCTCTTATGTCTTTGTATCCTTTATTAGACTTTTGCAAACTTTGCTATAATTTATTTTCTGACATTTGGACCTCTTATTTTTTAGGAAAGAATATTTGGGGGAGTGTTGTAAATATATTTGACCCACTGAATATCAAAAATAGCACTGAAATAACAAAAATAGCTCTGAATTTTGTTGTATCATAAAAATATAATGGCTTCTTGCTATCTTTTTCCAGAAAATGAGATGCAATTATAGATTCTCTGTGTCTGCAGGGCCTGGACAGTTTCAGAGTGAAACAGAAATTCTTCTCAGGGAGCCAGGAGCCAACAGCCTCCTTTCCTGTGCCGTATGACCTGCCTCCAGAACTGTATGGAAGTAAAGGTGAGACACTGGTGAAAGAAAACTTTGGGTGTGTGTACCAGAGCAGAAACAGACAGAGCCCAGGGAAAGCCATTGGGTTGGGCTCTCCCTGGGAGCCCGGCTCGTGGGTGGCCCTGGAAGCGCAGGTTTTTGCAGAGTCTCCCTTGCTGCCCTGTGTGTGGCCACCGGAGCCGCAGTTCTCAAACTGGTTGGTCTCAGAACCCCTCTACATTTTATTACTCAGGACCACAAAGGGCTTTTGTTTACGTGGGCTTTTATAGCTATTGATATGTATCATATCAGCAATTAAAACCAATAAATTTTTAAATATTTATTAACTTATTTAAAGATACTAATAAACCCATTTGTATATTTAAAGATATATAAAATGACTATTCCCCAAAACAAGTTAGTTTGGAAGATGGCATCGTTTACCTTTTTTGCAGACCCGTTTATCATCTGGGTTAACAGCCGGATTCTCACGGCTGCTCTGTTGTGTTATCACACAGGTTGTGTAGCGTCTGTACACTCACGTGAAAGTGACAAATAATGGCTTAATGCTATGTTGACAGTAATTTTGACTTTACAGGTATTTCCCCCTCCCCAACCCCCTTAAAAAGTAGGTCCCCAGGCCACACACTCTGAGAACTGCTGCGCTAGGTGAGGACTTCAAGGGCAGCGACCAGGTATTTTTCACAAGAGAAAGCCAGTGGGGTATTGGTCCAGGTCGCCAGCGCTTTTGGGAGGAAGGCTGGCTGGGATGCGGACACCACCTCATCCCAGCTCTGACCCAGCCCCGCCGGCCGCAGGGCTGCTCTGCTCAGCCCCAGAAAATCTGTCTTTGGGGTGAGTTCACACTTCACCAAGCTCACCCCGGAGGAGATGCGTAATCGGGACAAGCTTATTAATTTAAAATGGCAGATTCTTATATCACTGTGGCTGGCGTATTTTCCCCTGGACGGTAGAGGCCTACACAGGTAGCCAGATTGTAATCTGTGGTTTTTGAGAGAAGGCTGAATGTGAACAGGGGATTTGGTTTTTGATTTGGTAAGTTTTGATGATGCCACCCCATTAATATTCCAAACTCTCGGATTCCCTAACGGAGTCAGCCTTGCCCCAGTGGGTCCCTTCCTTCCCTGAGCGATGCTGGTTGGGTTCTAGCTACCCCCCCCCCCCGCCCTCACTCGCCCTTTTGGCTTTCGTGGTGAACCAAACCTGCCCTTCTGATGGACCCATTTCTCAGATTGTATTGGCACACCTGGCAGAGTGCATCCTGCCTCGCCCAGGTGACTTCATCTCTCTCTGATCAGTTGTGTGGATGCTGTTTCGGAAGGTATTCTTCTTCCCTTCCTTCCAAGCCGTGTGCGGTTTTCTGAGTCCTCTAAATGTGTTGTAAGTTCACACACGTTCACTTTTCACTAGCAAGAGGTTTTACCAGAATTTCAAGAAATCCGTGACCACTCCTCCCCACCCTCCAACCCACAGATGCTTTAGATCCAGGCCGTGTTTATGTGCCAGACAACTTATGAAGTGACCTTGGGCAGTGGCTTGTATTCTCTAGGCCTTAGTGTCTCTGTTTGCAAAATGAGAACATGAGAGTGCATAGCTCACTGTTGAAGAGTGACCGAGATATGGTCTAGAAAGCGTCTAACCCAGCGTCCAGCTCAGAGTTAGCAGCTGATTTCTGTTAGCCATTGTTTCTGTTATTTAAAATGTCCAGTTCAGTTATAACAGTGGATTGATGGCCATCCCTCCCCCTCCTCCTGAAGAGCTGACATTCAGAAGAGCCTGAGGCTTGTGCAGGACAGTCCCTAACCCAGGACATGACCCAGTGAGTGACCTTCCCCTCTTCTGGCTTTGCACTGCACCTCTGTCTTCTCTCCCTTTCTCTGCTCTTCATGTCCCTCACCCCTACCCCCAACCTGAGTGCTCCTGAATAAACAGGTTGGAGGTGGGAAGAACTAACTGTGACAGCCTTATTTAGGCTTAGCCTCCTGCAGTCTGGCCTCAGGCATTGTACCTCCCACCCGCAGCCAGGAGCCTTGGCTGGAATTTCACCCCCTCCCTTTAATACTAATCTCCAGAGGACTGTAAAAGCAAGAATGGAAGAGGTAGAGGAGCCTTAAAAATATCCTGAGGTTCCCTCAGTTCCACTAGAAAAAGCATTCCCAAGAACTTAAACGTTTACAACTAGGTAGTGACTTAGACCATGTAATGAAAATGGTAATCCTTTTATTTGACCAGCAAGCAGAAGTTTTCCATTGTTTAAGTGAGTTTTCTATTTTTTACGCATTTCCTTTGAAAGACATATGCGAGAGAGACTGGAACATTTTAGTTTTTTTTATCAGTACTATTTTACCTTCCACACTGCTTTACTAGCATGTAGAATAATGCCAGGGATTCAGATATCACCATTTCCCGTAAAGCCAACATTCGGGGGAGTCATGTGCACCTTAAAAAAGCATCTTGGGCTTCCCTGGTGTTGCAGTGGTTAAGAATCCGCCTGCCAATGAAGGGGACACAGGTTCAATCCCTGCTCCGGGAAGATCCCACATGCCGCGGAGCAACTAAGCCCATGCGCCACAACTACTGAGCCTGTGCTCTAGAGCCCGCAAGCCATAACTACTGAAGCCCGCATGCCTAGAGCCTCTGCAACAAGAGAAACCACTGCAGTGAGAAGCCCGCGCTCCGCAACAAAGAGTAGCCCCCACTCACTACAACTAGAGAAAGCCCGGGCACAGCAACGAAGACCCAACACAGCCAAAAATAAATAAATGTTTAAAAAAAAAAAAAAAAGGCCATCTTACCAGTGCTTGGAAAAGTTGAGTGGTTAAGAACATTTCAAAAGCACTGTATTTGGGACTTTCCTGTTGGTGCAGTGGTTAAGAATCCGCCTGCCAGTGCAGAGGACACGGGTTCGAGCTCTGGTCCGGGAAGATCCCACATGCTGCGGAGCAGCTAAGCCCATGCGCCACAACTACTGAGCCTGCGCTCCAGAGCCTGTGAGCCACAACTCCTGAAGCCAGGGCTCCTAGAGCCCGTGCTCTACAACAAGAGAAGCCACCACAATGAGAAGCCTGTGCACCGCAAGGAAGAGTAGCCCCCGCTCAGCGCAACTAGAGAAAGCCTGCACACAGCAACGAAGACCCAACACAGCCAAAAATAAATAAATTAAAAAAAAAAAAGCACTGCATTTGAATAAGTGACTTTCAAGCCACTTCAACATATATAAGATCTTTTTCAGTATTTTTTAAGTCAGGAGACTATAAGAAAAGCTTAGCAGAGAAATATACTAGTGTGAACAAATCACAGTTGGATACAAGAGACCACCAGACATCCTGACACCAAGAAATTGATCAAATTAAACAAAAACGAAGACTCAGCTACAGGGGTACCTGCCTCGTGCTTGCTGCTTATCCTCTCTCCCCACAGGTGTATCATTGAGAACCTGCTGTGCACAGATACCAGCGAGGTGGTTGGAATAGATCAGTGAACAAGACAGACACAAATCCTTGCCCTCCTTGAGTTTATATTACTCCTCCCATGAAAAGTTACACGTACTCAAACCCATTTTACAACAGGAACTGTGTTTTTAAAAGAAAACTTTTACAAAGCAAAATCACTAACATTGTAAATCACACACTGTAGCATGCAGTCCCTGACCACAGGGACACACAGAGGGAACCATGCCCCCCAGGTTGTCCTTCGTCCTCCCCCACCGTGGCCCTAACACAGGCCTCACCCGGACTCTCACCCGGACTGTGCTACTCTTTATTTCCCTGGTTCTGCACTCCTCCCCCTGGATGCCATCTTCCACGCTGCTGCCAGGCTCCTCTGATCGTTCCCTCTCCTGTTTTAAATCCTTTCATCGTATTCCAGAAAAAAAAAAAAAAGGCGATTTTCATCCCCTTTAGCCTCAGATCCCAAACAGATTCTATGAAAATCACCTTTAGACCTTGACAAAGGTACACATTGCCAGGCCCCAGCCCAGACCTACTGAAACGAGCTCTCCAGGGGTGGGTCCCAGAAAAACGTGCCAGCAATTCCCACATCAGCCCAGTCAGGGAGCTGCTGCACAGACACAGTGGGGTTCAGCGTCCCAGCAGCAGGGCGTGCCTGCTTGTCTGCTGCCCCCTGGACCGTAAACTTGAGAGGCCTTCATGTTTGGCTAGCGGAGTACCAGGCATCTAACCAGCACTACCAAGTATTTCACATACACATGTGACTGTATCATGTGAGGCAAGTTGTTCTCTCATGGGACAGTTTAGGAGGATTGCCTAAAACAGGCCTTCATCTGAGCCAGTGAGTGGTAATGGCTGATTTCCAGTAGTAATGGGTAAAAAGGCACAACAGAAATATAACCCCCCTCTTTTCGCCTTCCTCTTGGCCCTTTCTGTGGCCTTCCCCCACGGTAGTGGAAGGCCTTGCAGCTGGCATGGAGAGGCTCTGCCCGGGAGGTGCAGACATTTGCTCATTTATAAAGCAGAGCCTTGGGGATTTACCAGGAGCGTGGTTTCCAGGTCCTCGCTTGGTCATCGTTGGCTAAATTTGAGGGAAAGGAATAGTCATCCCTTGGTATCTGCCAGGGATTGGTCAAGGTCCCACCTTGGATCCCAGAATCCACAGATACTCAAGCCCCATAGTGAGCCATCCGTATCTGCAGTTCCACATCCCCAGATTCAACCAACCACTGATCGTCTAGTGTGTATTTACTGAAAAAAATCGCATATAAGTGGACCCTCACTGTTCAAGCCCAAGTTGTTCAAGGGTCCACTGTAAATGCAGTGGTGGTCTTTAAGTTACAGCCTCACTGGCAAACGTCTGTGTCACAGATCTGCACTGGTGAAGAATCTCTCTAATGGCTATTCATATAGCAAGGATTGGGGGGTCTTCTGCCTGGGGGATGAAGCAGAGCAGACATTGCCCAACAGAGCAGTTTGCAGGGAAAGAGGTAAATAAGGGGAAGTCCAGCCACAGAAGATGGTGTTTCCAATGGAAGAGAGTGGGTGCTTTCTTAAGGCCAGTGAGTAGCCGGCGAGTCAAGTTGCCAGCCCTGCTAGTCCCTTACCTCTTAAGAAACTTAATTACCAGAAAGTGTGGTTTCATGCTTTCAAACCATCTCAAGGCCAAAGGGGAGAGAACAGGGTTCTGATAACTTGTTGCCATCTTTGGCATTCTTTTCCTGCACTTCCTGCTGGGAGCTGCCATTTGCATACTTGCCCTGTGATTATTCCAAACAAACAGCGAGGCTGGGTGGAAGGAGCAACAGATACCATTGTTTGCCGGGTCGGCCTCCAAGGTACCATCTGCCCCTGTTCAAGAAAAGGAGAAACCCTCCCCCAGGGCTGCGGGCGGTGCCTGCGAGCAGCTGCTGCAGTGGGATGGTCCATCTCAGCTGACCTGCCAAGTGGCCAGCTTACTATAAGCATGCAGCCCTTCCATCTCTCTGTATTTCTCAGAACAATAGTATGGGGGGGTTATTTTTAATCCTTGCAGTGTATTTATACCCTACCCATATATTGTTTTAATTAAATAATTTATTTTTGGCTGCATTCGGTCTCCGTTGCTGCCCGTGGGCTTTCTCTAGTTGTTGAGAGCAGGGGCTACTCTTCGTTGTGGTGCTCGGGCATCTCATTGCGGTGGCTTCTCAGAGCAGGGGCTCTAGGTGCTCGGGCTTCAGTAGTTGTGGTGCACTGGCTCAGTAGTTGTGGCTCACGGGCTCTAGAGCGCAGGCTCAGTAGTTGTGGCGCACGGGCTTTGTTGCTCCGCGGCATGTGGGATCTTCCCGGACCAGGGCTTGAACCCGTGTCCCCTGCATTGACAGGTGGATTGTTAACCACTGCGCCACCAGGGAAGTCCCTACACCCTGCCCATATTATGATGGTTCTTTTTGAAATGGTTTGACTCTGGCAGTAGCCATGTGTGGTAAAAGAGATTTGTTCCAATTTTTTCAATTTGTGAGACATCAGTTAAAAGGAAGAAAAGTTCACACATATTGAGCACCTACAACATGCCAGGAACTTTCACAGATGTTCTCTCATTCATGCTTCACAATAATCCTGGGAGGTTGCTAATGTCATTACTTCCCATTTCAGAGATAGGGAACCTGAGGCCAAAATCCACATGCCTTCCTCAGGCTGCAGAGAAGGATGAAGGCAGGATTTGAGCCTAGGTCACCTTTCCGTTGTACCATTCCAAGGCTTGTTGCTTTTCTCAACGTGGGTCTATGGTCATTATACAAAGACCTTTCTGCCTTATCAATCACTAGCCTTAAGTTACAGAACAAAACCATTTCAGGGATGTGACATTGGGCCTCTTGGCTCTGTGCGACCGTGACCAGCTGCTGAGAGCAGAAAAATGGCCTTTGACTGTACCCATTGTCACTGTTGGTTTCTCCAGGTTCTTAAAAGAAGAAAATGAGCTGCCCTCATTTGTTACATTCTCTCTGTGTGCAACACTGCGTCTTGTGCACTACACGGGTTTATTTCATTTAATCCTCCTGACAGCTCCACGACTTAGATACACATAAGGAAACTGAGGCTCAGAGAGGTGAAGTGACTTGTCAACGTAAGTGGCAAGCCAGCATTCACCCCGGGCTTCAGCCTGCTCCCATGTTCACTCACCCGTGTCTTAACATGAACCTTTACTACAAGCTCTTACCTGTAAGGGCTCTCGTCGGGGCTTGATTCAGAAAAGGCTCTTCATGATTTGTAGACTCCAGCCCATGAGTAGTTTTATCCTGTCAGGTGGGTGAATTTTCTGTAATCCTATTTAAATCAGTATTATACTTATGTAAATTTTTTTCCCCCAGATCGGCCTTGGATTTGGAACATTCCTTATGTCAAAGCACCAGATACACACGGGAACATGTGGGTTCCCTCCTGAGAGCAGTAAAGTACTGTGAAGTTGACGTGTAAGGCATTGAACCCCAAACATTGGATGTTCTTGTTTGCACTGGGTGTTCACTTTTCTTAATGTTTTATCTGCCCCCCTACAAAACTCTTTGCAAAAGTCGAGATTTCAAACACAGATGTTGGTTATCCTTTTAATGACCATTGTTAACATTCTCACTTTAAAAAATTATATATTTTCTTAATTCCCTTTTCTATGCTTTGGAATGAAAGCTATTAAACTTCACCACGTTAAAAGAATATATAGGTGTAAAATGATCTTCCTAATGATGAGGACTTTTCGCGGCGGTGTCGGCGCTTGTGAATTGAAGGTTGACTTGTGTCAGTTGTGCTCTGTCAGGAGAGGTGCTCTGGATTCAGCTGGAACTTCTCAGAGCAGGAACGTGACCTCTCACCCAGCCCTCTCTCAGCTTTCTTAGTGTGTCTCGGGGTTGCTGGAGGGAGTCTGGGGTGTGTCGGCTGGTGCGGCTACCCCGACGCCATGGGCCGTGTTGACCGTCGTCACCCTGCAGCTTTAGACGACGTTTCATCCCCCCTGCCCCCGGCCGTGCTGGCTGCCTTCCCGCTCAAGGACCACCTGCCCTCCCCTCACCCATTCCCCACAGTGCACGGTGTCTCCTCCATCCCCAAAAATGTCCACAAAAGACAGCTCGCAGGATCATAAAAAAGCACACAAGTATTTCACTCAGAAGAGCCCCTGAACGGTGAACTGACTGGGTGCCTTTAATTCACAAGTGAGGGAACTGAGGCCCAGAAAGGTTCAGGACATCCCCCAGGCCCCAGCTGCCTGGGTCAGAGCGACGAGCATCTTCCTGCTTTGTGTCTGTGCCCTTCACACGCAGGATCGCGCTCTCCTCAGATGACTTAGAGCCTTCTCGTTTTTTCTTCTGCGTGAGGCTCATTTCCAGGTTGTCATCAGCTCCTTCATCGTAGAATCTAGAATAGGGTTCAATGTTAATTTTGTTTTGTTTGGGGTTTTTTTGTTTTGTTTTTTTTGCGGTACGCGGGCCTCTCACTGTTGTGGCCTCTCCCGTTGAGGAGCACAGGCTCCGGACGCGCAGGCCCAGCGGCCATGGCTCATGGGCCCAGCCGCTCCGCGGCATGTGGGATCTTTCCGGACCGGGGCACGAACCCATGTCTGCTGCATCGGCAGGTGGACTCTCAACCACTGCGCCACCAGGGAAGCCCCAATGTTAATTTTGAAAGATTTTTTTAAGATACTAGTTTTCCAGACTGTTCCTCAGAGGCCGAGGATGTTCACATCAGAAAGATGCTGGGGTGGGTTAGGGACGGGGGCTCCTCCCTTCTCCTTCCCTGATCAGAGGAGCCTTCCTTCACCACTTTTATATATTGGGTTCTCTAAAGGATACTATCTGGGTGGTTTTTTGTTTTGCATTCTGCTTAAAAACATAAAGTGAAAAGCCACTGAATTCGTTTAACCAGTTTCTTCCACTGGTAAGAAAAGTTAGGCTTAATCCTTTTCGCACCCTGCCTTCTACTTCAGGGGCATTCAATCCCTGTATCAGATGAGCCCAGGTGCCTTGGAAGGCAACAGGGAAGGTGCCCTGGACTGGTAGTAGCGGTGGGGCCGGCCCAGAGCGGGAGCCCAGGAGTCTGAGCTGGGTGTCCAGGGGACTGCCATCAAAGACCTTTGATTCCCACCAGCACAGTGGTCCGTCCTGGGTGGGCATGGGGGGAGTGCCAGCCTCCAGGCAGCAGGGGAGCATCACAACCGCCTCAAGTAGTTGGCCAGCTCCGGGCAGGACCCAGGAAGCCTGGGCTGCTCGGGGCCCGGGCCCAGCCAGTCAAAGGATAGCAGACTCGGGTATGTGGCTCATCTGATCCACATGACTGCAAAGTGGGTCGGAGCCCAGAGCTGGAGTCAGGCTGCTGGGCTTTGAATCCCAGTTCTGCCACCACTTCTCTGTGCCTTGGTCCCCTCACCTGTAAGATAGGGGTGGGGTAATAATCATTCCCGTTGCAGAGGCTCATTGAGACTGTCCAGTGAGTTAGGACATGAAAGTACCTGCACAGAGTGGGGACTGTACAGGGGACACCCTTGAGTCCTTAGGCTTATCCTCATTTTCCTGATAAGGAAACCTGGACTCAGACAGGTGAAGTGCTTGTCCAAGGTCACACTTCTAGAAGGTGCTCTCACCAGTGTTTGGACCCAGGTCCGGCAGCATCCAGAGCCTGTTCTGTACTTCCAGGGGGCCCAGGCTCCCGGGCAGTGTGGTGGACAGTAGCCGAGGAGGTGGACCATTTTCCCCCAATCCACTGTGGACAGATACTTGTATAGGATACAGGATCAGGTGCTTGGATGTCCCAGCACTGTCAGATTGCTCAGAGAGTTTCTAAATGCTCACTTTTTCTTTCTGTACTCATCACAGGCTGGCCTGGTCCACAGCCACACTTGGAGCGGCACCCTAGACCCAGCAGGGACCCAGAGTGCCCTTCTGGAAGCTGAGACAGTCTCTGTAGGATGTGCTGGTTAGGTACATCAAGGTACAGTTAGGGGAGGTCCAAGGTCAAGGGGCATGTACCCAGTGGGTGTGCAGGCCCAACCCCGGAGAGCTGCCTCCTGTGGCCCTTGCCCTGGTCAGCATGGGCTCAGCGAGGCAGGGCTAGGCCAGGCCAGCGTAGTACCAGGTCAGTACCACGAGCTCTCTGGGCACAGTTGATAGCACATGTGGAAAATAAAGTAATGCCTCAAGAGTAATCAACATGGGATTGATTAAATCCCATGAGGTTCAGCAAAACAAGAGGTTCAACCCCATCTGGTCCTTTTATTAATGTGACTGGCTAAATTACCCAAAGTGCTACAAAAAAGCATCATCAACGCCTGTTAATTTTTTTTTAATATTTGTTTAGTTATTTGGCTGCGCTGGGTCTTAGTTGCGGCACAGGGGATCTTCATTGCAGCATGAGGGATCTAGTTCCCTGATCAGGGATCAAATCCAGGCCCCGCTGCATTGGGAGCCTGGAGTCTTAGCCACTGGACCACCAGGGAAGTCCAAACACTTGTTAAGGTTTGAGGAAACCACTTCTGTTATTCTCAGGTTGGGGTTCAACAATTATTTCTCCCCAACTCAGGAAACCCTCGCCTCCCCTCTATCTGCCGTAGCTGCGTGCCACTTTTTATCCTTTTTCCCCACCTCCTTCCTTCCTTTCAGATCTCATGGAATCACTTATCCAGTGACTTTATACCTGCTGAGGGCAAACTTCCGTATAAAAGAATCCACCCTCTTCTTCGCAAGCTGCCCGATACAGGAGACTCATCTGCTGAGTAAGGAGTTTCTCTGCATGTGGACGAAAGGAACCTCTGCCTCTTTTTCTTAAAAAGTTTTATCTTGTTCTTTTGAAATCTTACCTAGCATCCTTTTACAGAGATGGACATGTAGCCAAAAATCTAAATGAGATTTTCATATTGGACAATGAATTTCAACAGTATTCTAAATGCTTAAGCATTTAAGAGACCCTCCCCAAACTTTTGGAGGCAGGAAATTGTCATCCCTGACACTTGGTGACTTAAAGGAAGTCACTTGGCATTTAGGCAGGAGGATTCCATGTCCCCTCACTTCTCTGGTACTCTCTGGTGAAGAGAGGAATGATCTGCCACCAGCTTCTTTCTTGGGGGAGGGAGGGAGATGGGATTTTTAAATTATGTTTTATCCTCATCCTCCTGGGAAAGGAGGCCTAGTTTTAACCATAGTTGATAAAAATCAGCCTTAGAAGTTCACTGATTTGGAGACTGTATTTTTCTACATAATGTAATAGCTGATGTTCCCTGACTTCTTCCTATGTTTCAACTCCTGTACTTAAGTGCTTGTTTAATCCTCACATCAGCCTTCTCTCTTTTTTTTTAATCTTTATTGGAATATAATTGTTTTACAATGTTGTGTTAGTTTCTGCTGTGCAACAAAGTGAATCAGCTATACGTATACATATATCCCTGTATCCCCTCCCTGCCTCACCCTTCTAGGTCATCACAAAGCATCGAGTTGATCTCCCTGTGCTATGCGGCTGCTTCCCACTAGCCAACCATTTTACATTTGGTAGTGTATATATGTCAAAGCTACTCTCTCACTTCGTCCCAGCTTCCCCTTCCCCCTGCCCTGTGTCCTCAAGTCCGTTCTCTACATCTGAGTCTTTATTCCTGCCCTGCCACTAGGTTCATCAGTACCTCTTTTTTAGATTCCATACACGTCCATTAGCATATGGTACTTTTCTCTTTCTGACTTACTTCACTCTGTATGACAGACTCTAGGTCCATCCACCTCACTACAAATCACTCAATTTCATTCCTTTTTATGGCTGAGTAACATTGCATTGTATATATGTGCCACACCTTCTTTATCCATTCATCTGCTGATGAACATTTAGGTTGCTTCCATGTCCTGGCTATTGTAAATAGTGCTGCAATGAACATTGTGGTACAAGACTCTTTTTGAGTTATGGTTTTCTCAGGGTATATGCCCAGTAGTGGGATTGCTGGGTCATATGGTAGCTCTATTTTTAGTTTTTTAAGGACCCTCCATACTCTTCTCTGTAGTGGCTGTATCAAGTTACATTCCCACCAGCAGTGCAGGAGGGTTCCCTTTTCTCCACTTCCTCTCCAGCCTTCTCTTAAATAACATCCATAAGATCCCACAGTGAGCAGCAGCACCAAGCCTCACTTTCCTGGTATGGAAGTTTTCTTGTGTGGAAGTTATACAGTTGTCCTTAATAGAAATTATTAATATCACATGACTTTTCAAATGAACATGGTTTCTGCATCAGATTCAGTATGCTTAAAATGAGGATCTTAGATTTGATTTTGTTGCAACTTTTTTTTTTTTTTTTTGCGGTACACGGGCCTCTCACTGCTGTGGCCTCTCCCGTTGCGGAGCACAGGCTCTGGACGTGCAGGCTCAGCAGCCATGGCTCACAGGTCCAGCAGCTCTGCAGCACGTGGGATCCTCCCGGACCGGGGCACAAACCTGTGTCCCCTGCATCGGCAGGCGGACTCTCAACCACTGCGCCACCAGGGAAGCCCTTGTTGGAACTTTTTTTCCCACCTGAGAGTAAAAATTCACTTTCTAAGAAACAGTGTCTAACATCATTTGATCCATTGTGAAACCACTTTTGGGTGATCTAAGTGTTTGATTCAAATCTTAAGACATTTTGAGTCCCCCCCCCCTTACTGTAGAGTTAGAGCTTTAACTAACCCCATCCTCGAGAATTCCTTGAGAATACTTGCTTT